CGGGCTTAATGGAACTTCTACTTGGATGCTACAACGCTACCTTCCTATCTTCCAATTGATTCCACTCACGCGCCGCTCCGGGCTAGAGCCCGCACCGATAGCTCTAACTATTCGAGGGGAAAGGAATCGATCTCTGCCTATCGTTCATTCTTACCGCCTTACGCTTTTATCGCGCGCTTTCAATCAATCGGGAATTCGTGTGATTTTATTATCAAAGTCGGTCGGCGATGTCAGTACGCCCCAAGATTCGATCGATCAAGTAATCGAGTTACAGAAGCGTGGACTGGGAATGGTAGTAAAAGTAACCGCACATCATGCTCGATCGCGTGGAAACACGCGCGATCTTCGAGTTTGCGATCAGAAAAATAAATAGATAATAAGTGACAGTAATAAAATAATATTAAAGAAAAAGAGTTTAATATCTGTAGGGAGAATTTACGAATTTCTCTTCTTTAAGCGATTCATATCAAATCTTGATAATATTTCTTATTGACGCAGCGACATAGTCGTGAATTTAATTTAAATTGAGCTTCTTGCATTAAAAAAAATATACTTTCATGCCAAGTTAATTAACGCGTTCCTCGCGATGCGATAATAAAAGTAAAAATCATACACGATTGTGCGCAACGGATTTATCAGCTTTCTTCTGCCTCTTCGTTCCGGAATTTCGCTTACGTCTGCAATTATCCGCAGAGAGTAATCGACGGGTGCGTCTTAATTACGAAAAAATAGAAAAAAAAGGTAAAAGGTTTCGCATTGTGAGAATTATAGCTGAGCCGCTTCGGAAACTTCCAGTTGATTCCACTCACGTGCCACTCCGTAGTGACTTATAAAGACGTTTATATCCACTCGAGAGAGAGAGAGAAAGGAGAAAAAAAGGGGGTTTTGGCAAATGCTTTCGCGTCTTGGTCGAAACTCTGGAGTTTTACGCTCATTTAGTAATCTCGAATAATAAGAAATTCCTTCGACACTTTTTCAGTTCGAGACGGATTCGCGGCGCGTACTTTTATCCGCGGGAGGGGAAGGGAAGTGAGCACGTTCTCTTTTTGGAAGAGCTTCCGAGAGGATTGCGAGATTTAACGGGATTAATATCGTTTAATCTTTTTGCGCGTTTCGTGTTATCAAAGCACGAAACGCTTGCGAGCGCATGTCGCGTGCGTTACACGATGGTGAGTTTCCGCTGCACGGACCGCCGGGCGCTTACCGGCCGCGCTTAATGGAACGCGAACTTGGCGTTAGCGCGCGGACCTCATCGTATCCCTCCCGATCGATTTTACTCACGCGCCACACCGGAACAGATTGCACGCTTTCCTGTATCTAGCCGCGATGAAAAACGCTCGCTGTGTTTTCGGTTCATCATCGCACCTGCGCTTTTATCGCAGGTCACGCGCATCCGTTCGCAACGACCGTAATTCTCGAGCGGAGCGCCAAGACGAAGCCCGCTCTCGATATTTTCCTCATCTCGTCAGATCGCGACGAGAGTGGTCCGTACTCGGGGAAGACGTTGCGGAGAACGGAAACGGGCGAGGGAAAACGCGAAGGCACTTCCGTATCATTGTTCTAATTTTTTGCGGCCGTAAAACGGTCTATTTTTCGCCGGAGTTTTACGATGAATCTGAGAGATTTTCAAGTGGACGAGCCGCTGAGCGATAATACGAAAGAAAATATCGACGAAGATGTAATATACGGGATATCCTATATTACGTAAATGTATATCACAAAATCTCCTATTTGCTATACTCGGAGAAAAAAGTAATCCCGGCAGCCAGAAAATTGAGGAAAGATAGCCTCGCAGCTTTGTATTGCAAAATTGCGATAAGAAAAATGAATAAATTGCACAAACTCAAGGGAATATAGTAACGTTAACCATTTGTGATCAATATAGTAGGATGGCACGCAAGAAAATAGTATTGCAAGATAGTTTTCTTAACGATAGATTATCGACAAAACTTATGTCCTGAAATGTCATCACGGCGTATTAATTTATTTCAAACTATGTCTACAAAAAATTGTTGCGAATTTTGTACACTGTACCTAAATATGTACAGTAATTTCGCTACGTAGGTATTCATTGTCACATTTGTCTCCGTGACTGTATTTTAATAGTTTTTACTTTTGTTCTTATAATTTTGTAAAATTACATGTGCATTTTAAAATTTGAAGTAATTATATCATGAACGTCAGTATTTTCTTGACCATATCTGGCATCTTTAATAATAGAGCAGATTTATTGCGAAAAATATTACCTCAGCCAGGGTTTGAACCTGGACCGCCCTACACTCTAGCCGGGCGTCTCATCAATTCGACCAACGAGGCATATGATAATATTTGTCGCAAAATTTTCGCGCGCCCTTGCCGGCGCGCAGTTCACAAAAGTCGAAAATATACGCGTAGACAACATCTTTATAATGTTATTGCGACAAATATTATCCTATGCCTCGGTGGTTGAATTGGTGAGACGCCCGCCCAGAGTGTAGGGAGGTCCAGATTCAAAGCCTGGCTGAGGTAATATTTTTCGCAATAAATTTGCTGTATTATTAAAGATGCCAGATATGGTAAAGATAATACTGACGTTAATTATGAAGAATTTTTATTATAATATAATAGTTAATTATATTATGGCTGGTAAAATCATTTTGCTTTCTCGAAGAGAGTATTCTTTCGAGATCTTTTTAAAATAGAATTGACGTAAGAATGTGTTAAACAATTATTTGTCATTATTTCTCAACTAACGTCAATACGTAAAACAACTAATACACATATTGGATATATCAAACTTTTGTTTGTATCACGCAAATAGATATTTTAACAAGTTAATCACGTAACTTGTGAAAAAAAATTATATTAGAGAAAATCTTGTATACTGCGTGTATCAAACCCGATTCGCAAATTATCTTGCAAGCAGGTAATTAATAAGATAATTGTATAATGTTCACAAAAAAGTTAAATTGTTACAAAACTAATGTCCAAATATTTCAAAAATAATGATGTCACTGCGCTTATGTAATCTTATTTGCTTGTTGCAAATAAATATTCAACACAAGATAATGTGCGAAAAAGATATTTTATTATGAATGTTTTCATGTCTTGCAAACAGATTTTTAATAAGACAATTCATTGCCAAGAAAATATTTAGCAATGAAACTAATTCAAAAATATCTCAAAGATAATTATATATGTTGCACTTGATCAAATGCTATTCGTAGCACGCAAATAGATTTTTAACAAGTTAATCACGTGACTTGTAAAAAACATTAAATTAATTCAAAATTGATTTTTAAGTTAAATTGTTACAAAACTAATGTTCAAATATTTAAAAATAACTATCATTGCGTTTTTCTAATCTTATTTGCATGTTGCAAATAAATATTCAACACACAAGATAATTTTCAAAACAGATCTTTTATTCTCTCGGAATTTATCTTGAAAAATAACTCAGTTCTCTCATTAAGTATCTTAAAATTAATATTAAAATATCCCAACCGCAGTAATTATGTATCGAATCTTTTCGTGTCTCGTAAACGAATTTTTAATAAGACAATTTATTCCCGAGAAAATATTCAGCCACGAAACTAATTCAAAGATATCTCAAGGATAATTATATACGTTAATCACGTGACTTGTGAAAAACATTAATTATTAAAAATTGATATTAATTTTGAAGTTAAGCTATTACAAAACTAATGATCAAATATTTCAAAAAATAATTATATCTTGGCTTATCAAAACTTATTTGTATATTGCAAACAAATATTCAACACACAGGATAATTTTCAAAAAAGATATTTTATTCTCTCAGAATTTATCTTGAAGTAACTCAGTTCTCTCAATTATCTTAAAATTAATATTAAAATATCTCAACCGTAGTAATTATGTATCGAATCTTTTTCGTGTCTAGTCAAAGAATTTTTAATGAGACAATTTAATCCCGCGAAAATATTCAACCACGAAACTAATTCAAAGATATCTCAAAGATAATTATATACGTTAATCACGTGACTTATGTGAAAAACATTAATTATTAAAAATTTATATTAATTTTGAAGTTAAGCTATTACGAAACTAATGATCAAATATTTCACAAAATAATTATATCTTGGCTTATCAAAACTTATTTGTATGTTGCAAGTAAATATTCAACACACAAGATAATTTTCAAAAAAGATATTTTATTCTCTCTCGGAGTTTATCTTGAAATAACTCAGTTATCTCAATTATCTTAAAATTAATATTAAAATATCTCAACCGCAGTAATTATGTATCGAATCTTTTCGTGTCTCGTAAACGAATTTTTAATAAGACAATTTATTCCCGAGAAAATATTCAGCCACGAAACAAATTCAAAGATATCTCAAAGATAACACGTTGCGCTTGATCAAATGCTATTCGTATCTCGCAAATAGATATTTTAATAAGTTAATCACGTGACTTGTGAAAAACATTAATTATTAAAAATTGATATTAATTTTGAAGTTAAGCTATTACAAAATTAATGATCAAATATTTCACAAAATAATTATATTTTGGCTTATCAAAACTTATTTGTATGTTGCAAGTAAATATTCAACACACAAGATAATTTTCAAAAAAGATATTTTATTCTCTCGGAATTTATCTTGAAATAACTCAGTTATCTCAATTATCTTAAAATTAATATCAAAATATCTCAAACACAGTAATTATATATCGAATCTTTTTCGTGTCTGGCCAAAGAATTTTTAATGAGACAATTTAATCCCGCGAAAATATTCAACCGCGAAACTAATTCAAAGATATCTCAAAGATAATTATATACGTTGCGCTTGTAAATGCGCTACTCGTATCTCGCAAGAGATATTTCACAAGAGAATCGCATGTAATTTCCGAGAAAAATATCTTCCGGATTCGAAACCACGCAGACGCAGACTTCCCCTTTAACTTTTAGATACAACGTTGAGACACCAAACGAACGATGCAACGAATTTTGACGGATTTCGAAGAAGTAAGTAACGAACACTTACCGGGGGCTGCTTCGCCGTCGCCCGACGCCTCGCCCGGGCCTCCTCCTCCTCTCAGGTTAGACTCCTCCATAGTTTCCTCCGAGTTGCACACGTAACACTCGCGAAAATCGGGTTAATTACGCGCGCGCGCGCGCGCGCGCACTAATCAGCGGCATACGACGATCGCATACTTCGCCCGGCACTCCCGACGTTAATCACGCGCGACACGCACTTTATCATTCCGCGACGTGAAAAGAACCCTCGCCGCCAATTAAAACGTTCAACTTTCGCGATCGCGCGTCTCAATGCGCGGCTACGGAACTATGCCGTTCGCGACGTTACCGAAAAACTCACGGGACAATGTTGCCAACTTCGTCTCGTGCGACGCTCCCAGCCGGTAGAACCGAATTAAGCCTCGTCTACATAGAAGTCGTAAGAATAGTCGACTGTGATTGGTCAATTCTTATGTGTCCGACGAAATTGACCAATCGCAGTCGATTATTCTTACGACTACGACTCTGCGACTCGCATTGTAGACCACGCATTAAAGCCTCCGCTACAATGATTCTCGGTTCTGTCTACAATGGTCGTAGTCGTAGTCGCTCAATAAGAATTGACCAATCGCAGTCGATTATTCTTACGACTACGACCATTGTAGACAGAACCGAGAATCATTGTAGCGGAGGCTTTAATGATCTCTCCGACGCGATGCGGTAAAACGTGCCGAACTTCCGCGCGGTGCATTCCGCGAAATAGAAACGAAATATGTACGCCGAAACGAACGCTCGGCGAGTATCAAAGGCGCTTTTCGTTATTCACGTCACATGCGTCGCATCGCTTCCCGTTCGAGCGGCAAGTCGCGGCAGCGAAAGAGAGAGAGACAGAGAGAAAGTCCTCTTCGTCTGTCGGATTATCGATACCGTGGATATTGTTAACGGAGCGTCGCACACCGCACACGCGTGTTACTCCGATCGCGCTCGCGTTCCGCGGGGAAGCAATGGAGCGAGGCGGTTACACGCCCGGCCGTCTCGAGCCACGACGTACGACTGATCGTAACTTGTTTTTCACGCGCTCGCGGTGTGCCGGCGTACGTTACGGCTTATCGCGCGCCGGCAAAGGTCACCCCTCTACCGGGTACGCGGGGATGAAATGATTCGTACGCGAGGCGGCTACCAGCGTTTTTACAACGTTCGTTGTTTATTGTGTTTCTCGGAACGCGAACGCGATACCGTTCGTACACAAAGGGGGCTCGATCGTTGGCCCGCTATTAGATTTGCCGCCGGGTAGAAAATTTCTAGAGACTCGACAACTTTTCTATTCTGCAGCCCATTGAGAAATTTTTTTAAGCGCGTCGACTGGCTACGAGATAGAACATTTCTAGGTTCCCGTAGAACTTTCCTGTCCTCGTCGTACGGCAAATTTAATAGCAATCTTAAAACGCGAGCGCGATATCGTTCGTACACGAGGCGACTCGATCGTTAGCTTGATATTACATTTTGCTGCCGGGAAAATTTCTGGAGACTCGACAACTTTTCTATTCTGCAGCCCATCGAGCATTTTTTTAAGCGCCTTTACTGGCTACAAGCTGGAAAATTTCTAGATTCTCGACAACTTTCCTATCATGGTCGTACGACAAATTTTTCAATCGCGTCACTTCCCATACAGCACGCATGCCTAAAAGACATCTTTAAGACATCTTTAAGTCGTCTTTTAGACATGCGTGCTGTATGGGTTGGCTCCAGGATAGGAAAGTTGTCGAAAATCTAGAAATTTTTTAATTTGTAGTCAGTCAACGCGATTAAAATATTTGTTGCACGGCAAATGTAATATTAATCTTAGAACGCGAGCGCGATATCGTTCGTATACAAGACGACTCGATCGTTAGCCTGATATTACATTTTGCCGCCGAGTAGAAAATTTCTAGAGTCACGAGAACTTTTCTATTCCGCAGCCCATCGATAAATCTTTTAACCGCGTTGACTGGCTACTAGCTAGAAAATTTCTAGATTCCGGCAAACTTTCCTATCCTGGAGCCAGTCGACACGGTTGAAAAATTTGTCGTACGACCAGGATAGGAAAGTTCTCGAAAATGTTGAAATTTTCTAGCTTGTAGTCAGCTAACGCGCTTAAGAGATTTGTCGCACGACAAATGTAATAGCAATCTTAAAACGCGAGCGCGATATCGTCCGTATACGAGGCGGCTCGACCGTTTGGCTAATATTACATTTGTCGTACGACAAATTTTCCAAGCGTGTCAATTGACTGCAGAATAGAAAAGTTCTCTAATTTATCTATTCTGAATTTATAACGCCCGCGCGACAAACGAGCGAGCGGGCAAGCCGCGTGAAAATAGCCGCGAGCCAGAAGGAAACGGGTTCAAACACGTTCGCGACGAAAACGAAAATTATCTATTCTGCAGTCAGTCGACGCGCTTGGAAAAATTTGTCGAACAAATATAATATTAGCCTTTGTTTTTCATTGTCCCTTGAAACGCGAGCGTGATATCATTCGTATACAGGTGGTTCGAGCGGTAACGTCGGCGGCAGCGGCAGCAACAGTGGGCGGCGGCGGCGGCGGCGGCGGCTCGACTGACCGGCAGTTATTTTCGGCGGCTCGAGCGGCGGCGGCAGCGGCGGCGGCGGCTCGAGCGATACGCATTTGTTTTCGGCGGCTCGAGCGGTGACGACGGCGGCGGGGGCGGCGGCGGCGGCTCGAGCGATACTCATTTGTTTTCGGCGGCTCGAGCGGTGACGACGGCGGCGGGGGCGGCGGCGGCGGCTCGAGCGATACGCATTTGTTTTCGGCGGCTCGAGCGGTGACGACGGCGGCGAGGGCGCTCGACTGTTACTTTACTCGTCTGTTTCTCACTCTCCCACGGAACGCGATCGTGTTCGCACGCGTGTCGCGAAGACGCGACGATCGAGGATCGTAGTACCGCCTGTACGACGTTTCGTGAGACCATCACCGGCGGTAAACGGTATCTCTATAGCACTATTAAAGGCCGATGTCTCGAGGGAACTTTTAAAACGTTCACGCTTCCTTGTCGGTCTCGATTCGCGTCGATAAGAGAGAGAGGGATGGAAGCGACGCGACGCGAACGTGTTTCAATCTGTTTTCGGCGGCGGCGGTGGCGCTCGACCGTTTCTCATTTGTTTCTCACTCTCCCACGGAACGCGACCGTGTTCGCACGCGTGTCGCGAACTCGCGAAGACGCGACGATCGAGGATCGTAGTATCGTCTGTACGACGCTTCGTGAGACCACCGGCGGTAAATGGTATCTCTACAGCACTATTAAAGGCCGATGTCTCGAGGGAACTTTTAAAACGTTCACGCTTCCTCGTTCTCGATTCGCTTCGACGAGAGAGAAAGAGAGGGGGATGGAAGCGACGCGACGCGAACGTGTCTTAACCTCTGTTTTCGCTCTGGCTCGAGACTGATATTTTCACGCGGTTTGCCCGCGAGCTCGATTCGCGGATACGTCGTGCGGGACGGGCGTTATGAATGATCGTTTCTCTTTGATATTTACGCGCGGTAATTGTTTCTTTAATGATGATTGGGCGTTTCGCGCGCAACGCTCTTTCGCCGGGTTTGCCGATGGAACGTAATTTGCGGCTTTTCAACGCGGGAGTAATACGCGCTCGTTCCGGCGCTGCGGCGGAAAAAGCCCCGATGTACCGTTCATTAATAGCGCGCGCATTTACGCGGGATTCGTTCGGATTGTCGCGTCTCGACGTTATCAAGCGGCCAATTTCGTCGCTCGCGCATTTCAGAACGGCTTTCGCCGCGCTTCCCGATCCGGTCATCGAATCTGGAGATCGGAATAATAACCGACGCCACTTCGTACGCGGAAGTGCGGCCTGCTTCAAAGCGTTCGTCCTCGTCTTTCTGTCGGCAAAGAAAGGAGAAGACGAACGCTTGTATCATCGGCCTGTCCAACTTCTCTCTCCCTCTCCTTCCGGTTTCGAAACGAACGGCCGCGACCGATGGAAAGCTGGAAGCGATCATCCCGGCGACTCGATCGCGAATCTTTTCCTCCGGGCGTGAACTCGTGTAAATTGAACATTTTCACCGACAAATAATATCAAACTCGTCGATGAAATTGCCTCACTTTTCACGAGTTGGCGCCAGAGAAAAGGATTCATGCTCGAGTCCCCCCCCCCTGATCAGGGGGTCAGTTCTGCATCTTGCAGTAACGTGAAGATGCTAAAAGTGCGAGGCGCCTTGTCTCTTTCCATGAGGACGGTTAGAGGGAGACAAAGCTGCTCACTTTTAGCATTATCACTGCGGTGTTGGACCGATGGCAGAGAACGATCCGTAAACGCTTAAGACTGTCTTAGATCGTAGACGTAAGGCAAGGCAGAGAGAAACGTAAGTCGTATACAATAGCCTTTCACGACTTACGTTTCTCTCTGCCTTATTGCCTTACGTCTACGATCTAAGACAGTCTTAAGCCCGTATCAGACTACGGATTGAGATTGGGATTAGATTGAAATTTGACCAGAGTAAAAGTTACTGAACTTAAGATTAGTAAACTTTACTGTGATTGGTCAAATTTCAATCTAATCCCAATCCCAATCCGTAGTCTGATACGGGCTTTAAGGCTCGTCTACGTAGAAATCGTAAATTCGTAGTCGTAAGAATAATCAACTGCGATTGGTCAATTTCGTCAGACACATAAGAATTGACCAATCATAGTCGACTATTCTTACGACTACGACTTTACGACTTCTATGTAGACGAGGCTTTAAGCC